TCATAAGAGAAGAGGAATGCATCTCAAACTGGTAGGGTGCCAATTATCCTGAAAGACCAGGTGCGTGGCTGCGCTTTCTTGCTTTGATGGAAAATTGGAAATGATATAGACTGGCAGAAAACTACAACTACTCTACATGAGACGTGTGATGGTGAGTACTTGGCAATTTGTAGCAAAGGACTTTTGTGGTTGGAGAATTTAATTCTTCTGCTTCTACTGGCAGATGATCCCTAGGTCCCAAATTTAATTTAATTTGCTTTGCTCAATAAAATTAATTAATTAATAGTTTAGTAATATTTTTTTTTAATAAAAATAAGAAATTTTAAATTTAAAGTATATAATATATGGTTGGAAATAAATAAAAAGATAAAAAAAATTATCTTTTATTATATAATTAAAAATTAAAAAAATTAAATTAAATTAAATTAATTAAACTACAAATTAATTATGCAACCAGCTAATGAGTGAAGAATATATTTTATTTGATTTTGAGTGGTCAATTAATTACCTACGTACCTTGATCATCAACCGCTCCTTGGTCATGAAAGAATCATGAGATGGTGGATTGGTGGCGGCCATCCGAAAATATGCCTCCGGTGATCTTGGCTCCACCTTGAACTTCCTACAAAATGGCAGCCATTCTTTGGAGAAGTGCGCCGCCTCTAACATAGCATAAAATATTAAATCCGATCCACCATCATCTGACAGATACACACTTAGTTTGTCAGGTGGGTAATCATATGCCATCATCGATAGCACTGTGTTGATCACCATTGTTGGCGGTTCCATCACTGGATCTGCTGTGCATACAAAGATATCCACGCCTGGCAATGCTTTATCATCGTACCTGCAGCACTTGTCTATGTTAATTAATTGTTAATTTCACATCACATAATTAATCTGGATATATATATATATATATATCTCTATTCATGAATTAATGGTAATTAATTATAATAACAATCAATTAAGTTGTTCTTAAAAGTAGTTCAACTACTAAAAGTTTTGTAGATCTTAATTTTAAATATGATTTGTGTGAGAAAAAATTTGAAAAGAGAAAATAACTATTTTTTTATTATATAATCTATTATCAGTGTATATAGATAAAAAAAAAATTTTGAAACCTCTGTTGAAATCAAGGAACCTGTAAGAAAGCCTGTCTTTGAAGGTGAAGCGACGGACAGGGTTCCATCTAACCACAACGGTTAGAAGCCAATATAAAGTAAACCAAAGTTCTGCAACAAACAATCCAACCCAAGTCCACCTCTTTGTCCAGCTTCCTCGCTCTGGAAACCATCTCACCCTGTAAACACAGATGAAG